GGATCTCAGGCAAGCCCCACGCAGAGGCCCACGGCGAGGCGCGCCCCGAAGGAGCCGCCCCCGGCGCCGACGGCGCTCAGGTCCCCGCGGAGGGCGCGGCGACTGGCAGCGACGCGAGGTTGTTGCGGGCCGCCGTCGAGGGCAGCCCCGCGCTGCTGCTGGAGGCCATCTCGCGTGGCAGCTTCGGGGGGCCTCGTCTCTCGGCCACGCGCGGAGGGGGGTACTGAGGAAACCCATGCCAAGAAACACCCTCCTCCTCCTCCTCCGCCTCCTCTCCTCCTCCTTCCTCCTCTCCTCTTTCACTTCCTCTTCTGTCTCCTCCTCCTCCTCCTCCTCCTCCTCCTCCTCCTCCTCCTCCAGCTCCTCCTTGCGTTCTTCGCACCTCGTCTCTCAGCCTCGCGCGGAGGGGGGGTCCTTTTGGAGCCCTCTTGGGAGCCTCTTTGGTAGTCTTGTACCATTTTGAAGCGATCTTGGGCCGTCTTGGGTGCATCTTGGGGCGTCTCGAGCACATCTTGAGATCCTCTTTGGCTCTCCTTGGGCTCTCTCGGCCGTCCTGGACGCGTATTGGAGGCCATCTTGGGCCATCTTCGCCGTCTGGAGGCGATTTTCTGCAGTCGTTGAGGCGCGCGCGGCCGGCGCGACCGGCCCATACCCGATTGGGAACCTCTTCAAAGCAGCAAAATTACCGAACGTTCGGCACGCCGTGCACCCTTGTGGCAAGCCGCAGGGCGCGACGGGTTGTATGTGGTCTTCTGCCCATCCCGCCACCGTGCCTTGGTTGTAGGTCAGAGGCCTCTTTGATGCCTACAGTGGAAACCCATGCCAAGCAACACCCTGCTTGCCTCCAGGGTGCCCTTGGTTTCTTGGGTTTCGATGGTTCTGCTGTGAAAAGTGCGACGCTCCCACACCAAAAATCAATGGACGTCCTGGGTTCTCGGGGTTGTGGATTTCTTGTGGAAGGTTTCTTGTGGTCGAGCTCCTACTGTAGGGGGAGGGGAGAAGGCTTCTCAAAAGGAGGCTGCTCCTTAGAAGGTGCGGGCCTTGTCTGTAGATGTAAAGACCGCGCCCTCTAAGAAGCAGGCGCCTCCTTCTAAGAAGCCGTTCCCCCTCTCCCTACCCCCTTATGCGCGCCGCCGAGTCGCAGAGGTGGAACGGGTACCCATACCGCTACCCTTCCCTCCTTTTTCGCTTTTTGGGGTTTCTTGGGAGGCCTTCGTCACCACCGCTGGATTCGCCTCGAAATTTCGGTCAGAACGCACCACGAGAGGTCCAGGGAGTAGCGGTATCAGTACCGCTTGGTATCCTCAACTTTGCGTTGCATCTTCGGGGGACCTCGTCTGTCCCCCCTCAGAACTTCTGTCTTTCATCGTGACTGACGCGGGCTCGATGTGGGCTCGGCGCGGATTTGGTGCGGATTCGACGTGGGTTCGACGAGCCCAGCACGGAGTCGACACGGATTTGACGCGGGTAGGGACACGACGGGACAGACGAGGCCCCCCGAGGTTGCAACGTCGTGAGGCCATCCAGCAGGGCGCCAACCTGGAGGCGCGGGAGCCCAGGAGCCCGAGGAGACAAACCCACGAGTTCCTCCAGGCATGTCGGCGTCCCGCAAAAAACATAGAAACACAATCAGTGGAGGGGTTGAAACAATTGGCAGCCACCACGTAGCGAAATCGATAGTAAGATCGATGGTGATACCGAGGGTGAGATCGCTTGCGTGAGATGGATAGTGAGATCGATCATGAGATCGATGGTGGGCTCGATCGTGTGATCCCGAAATCGGCCCGGAACCAGGGAACCAGCAACCAGGAACTCGGCAACCGGGCACCCGGTGAACCCAGCCGGCTACAGGAATCGGCCTGGGACTTTCGCCAAACCTCTCAATATCCGCAACCCGAGGGCCCCGATCTGCCCTCCATGTCTGGTTAGGGGGGGTCGGGGAACATTGAGAAAACACATATGAAGCCCGTACCCCCCCCCAACCCGAAATTCGGGTCTTCAGTTATGATGTTCCAACCTACTTTAGCCTTGATCACTAGAAATAATTTCGAGCACCAGGAAAAATACCGAAACTGGAGGGTTTTCACGTGTCGGGCCCTGGGAGACACTCGTCCGACACTGTGTCGACACTCTTTCGACACTTTTCCGGGTGCTCGGAACTATTTCTAGGATGTGGCCCTCAAGTACGATGGGAGCAACAGAAGTCTTCGGGTTGGGTTGGGGTGGTTTGGTAGGTACCCTGACCTTCAGGAGGTGGTGGTGGTGGTCACTGCATAAGGGAAACAGAATCCCGAGCAGAGCAACACGCACCACGACCACGACGACGCCGACGACGACGACGACGACGACGACGACGACGACGACGACGACGGAGACGAGGCGCGCTTACGACGAATAACCTATCCTAGAGCCAAAAAATAGCACCCGACCGAATGACCTATCCTAGAGCTGTTCTACGTCCTGGTTTCAGGCAGCTCCGCTCAGTTTTTCAGGTGTCTAGGTCTCCAGGGCTAGAAAGATAGCTCTCTGGAAGGTCAGGGCAGTCAGATTTCGGGCCGCGCCGCCATCGAGGAGACCTTGAGCTCCTGGCGCCCCCATGCTATCGCTCGAGCCCGGCGCCCTCGCCCGGCGCGCCTCTCTTGCTCGGGCCCCCGGGGGCCCTCACGGGTCGACCTGGGGCTCGGAGGCGTGGCGTCGCTCGGGCGTGTGCACCCCTGCCTCGGCGAGGACCCTCGAGGACCATGCTGGACCATCGTCGGGAGGGAAAAAACACACAGACACAATGAATCGTCGATTCCCCAGGAAATATGGGAAACTATGGGAAGTGCGGGGGAAGACAAAAACCCAGAAAATATGGGAAAAGACGTGGCATCTTTCTATTCGTGTGTGTATTTATTTGTGTGTCCTAGGGCCCCTGCACATCGAGCGACAAAAAGCACGCACGAAGCCGAAGAATGCGCGGGAAATGGACGCCCGAGCGACGGCACGGAGACGTGGCGCAGACCGATGGGGTCTGGGGCTCTGGCCGTGACTTTTTGCACGGCGTTGCCGCCGCTTCGCGGCCCTCGGGCGCCACGGGGAGGTGCTGATGGCGCTGCCGCTGCTGTTGTGCCCTCGCCGGGCGCTCTCGCCCCTTTCCCGGGCCTCCCGGCAGGCCCCCCGGGGCGCCGGGGCGGAGTCCGCCCCGAAGGCCTGGCCAGAGCGCGCCCCGGGGGAGAGGTCTGGAGGCTCGGGCGTCGAGTGCCGGGGGTGCGATGCACGAGGCGTTCCATCAAGCAGTGGCGAAGCGTCCTGGCTCGCCCATAGCCCTACCAAGCAATGTTCTGAGAACTTGCTTTGTGGTTTTTCCACGAGCTGTTCTTGGAACACTTCTGGCGGAGTCTATCTTGCTCTATCACATCGGGTTTATGTTCGAAGAACCTTTTTTTTGCTATTAGACTATTGTTGGGTTCTAGGAACATTTCGTGGTAGGACTATAGGAATGCCGGGATGGTCGGTCCCTGCTCAGTTCCAAAAATGGCCTCGCCTTCGAGGATCGAAGGAGTTGTCATCTCTTCCGCCGCGGAAGCCGGCGGAAGGCTGGCGCGAGACGGCGGAAGTATCAGATGCGCCCCCAGGAGACGAAAGCGTTTTGGGGTTCAGGGTTTCCGAAATCACCCACATTCAGAGCCCCGAATCATCAGGGGTAACTCGGGTCAGGGCTAACTCGGGTTCGTTGTTCGGGATTCCGAACCCGAGTTACCCCGGGCCCGAGTTACCCCGGATAACTCGGGCGTCCAGAGCCCCACATCATCAGGGGTAACTCGGGTCAGGGCTAACTCGGGTTCCTTTTTCGGGAATCCAAACCCGCGTTACCCCGGGCCCGAGTTACCCCGGATAACTCGGGCGCCCAATTTTTGGGTTCAGGGTTTCCGAAATCACCCACATGGGGGGCGAAGGCATCTGGGGCACATTTTTGTTAGCACTGGCGGTGCCGCGCTGGTGCAGAGGGCTCGGGGGGGGGGAAGGAAAGGTGCACCTCTCGTGTCCTGAAGGAGCGCTGAGCATGCGGGGGATACTGTTGTCTTTTGTCCATGTCCTCTGCTGCTTGGAGATCCGGGCTCCCTTCACCAATAGAAGCCCGAGGTGCACTGGATACAGTATGGATAAGTCTGCCCCCTTAGAGGCTCGATGTTTACCCATATCCAGTGCGCCTCGGCCTTGTGGCGCCCATTCCAAGACGATCCAAGACGCACGGGATATGGATACAGTTCTTGACCAGCAAAAGGGCCCCCTGGGGGCCCAAAGAGGGGCACAAACAGTGCACGTCTCTCTCTCCCCCCCACCCCCTGTCGCCCCCCCAGGAGTTAAGACGCCCGAGGGGCGGTACCGCGGAGGCCCAGCCCGGGCCCAGCCCGGCGGGTTGCCTGGTGCAGAAATGGAGTCTGGGCCTCTTTGGTGGGGCTCCGAGCAGACGGGGTCGGAGGATCGCGCCGCATCGTCGGTGCGTCGACGAGGCGGCGGCTCGACGTGCACAGACCGATTTGCTCCGCCGATGCGGCGCCGACGTCGGCGGTGCGTCGCCGATGCGTCGCCGATGCTGTGGCGGTGCGGCGCGGCCCTCCGAGGGCCTCTATCCTCCGAGCCCACGGACCTCAGACCTGCCATCGCTCGGGCGTTCCTCCCCCGTGCATTGTTTTGTTCGGCCTCGTGCAGGAGGCCCGCGGAGGCCCCGCCCGGGCCCGGCCCAGGCGAAGAGCGCCGCGGCGGGCCCAGGCCGGGCGAGGAGCGCGCGCGCGCGCCCTGGCGCGGGGGCCTCACGCCCCTGATGGAGGCGGCCGGGAGCCCCGGAGACCGGGGGTGCGGGCCAGCGGGGGGTCGGCCAGAGCGCCGCCACCCTCCCTCCTACCTCCTCCTCCTCCTCCTCCTCCTCCTCCTCCTCCTCCTCCTCCTTTTCCTCCTCCTCCCCGTGCCAATGCTGTTCTATACTCCTCTGGGGGAGTCGGCTGGGGACGCACGGGGCGCCACTAAGGGCGTGGATTCCCCACGCCCGACGAGCACCCCAGCCGAGCCCCCAGGGGAGTGAACAGCGGGGCGACAGTGGCAAGAGGCACGCCCAAGTGCCCTCCCAGCACAAGGAGGATGCGTCGCCCTAGACCGGACCTCCTCCAGCAGTGCTTATATTGCCCA